AAAAAAAAAAAAAAAAAAAAAGAGAAGCAACAGAATAACTGATATGCGCAATGATTTTGTATAATTTTTGCTCGTCCATTATCTTCATTCAGTTATTTTCCAAACTGACATCTGTTTAAACTGTAAAAGCGCTTATTTCTTTTTTTTTTTTATTTTATTTTTCTTTCTAAACTCCAATTTAAATTGTTGTTTTTGTTTTTATTGTTCTCGTCATCTTTGTTTGTTTATTTTGCACAAAATAGACTTAACTGTTCGTTTATATTTCCCAAATAATTTCTGTCTATCGTTGCTTTTTTTTCATTCTTTTTTTTTTTTCGCTGTTGCTGTTGTTGTTGTTGTCAGTGTATCTGATTTTGTTTAATTTTATAAATCAATTAACTTCTTCTAACATCATCGATCTATTTTGAACAATGGTATCTGAGATGGTGAAAACTGTTGCCCACTTCAATTGTTGTCGTTGCTGTTGTTGTTGTTGTTGTTGTTGTTGTTGCCGTTGTATCAATAGTTCTAACGGATGATGAAAAGGGAAGGGATGAAGGGGAGGCTATGGGGAGCGGGGAGGGGGAGCGGGGAGGGGGAAAGCGAAGCTATGAGAGGAGAAGAGAAAATGTATTAACATTACGTCACCTCAAATTGGATCATATCGTATTGAAAAAAAAAGATTCAGAATCCCATATCAAAATATTGTGATTTTTCTTGCTTTCAATGCTGATTTTTTTTAACAACAAATAAGATAAACGATTACAGCAATTATGATAATAGACAAAAATTTGTTTATTATTTGCTCTGCTTTCTGTCAATAAAAAAAAAAGGAAAATATTTACCTGTTCTTTTTTCTTTTTTTTTGTTATAAAATTATTTGCTTATCATCTGAATGTAAAAACAACGATTATTTTATAATAATTTCTAGAACATAATACTGAGTGGATAGATATATATATATAAGATTTGATTTTACAACACTTTATTACAATCATCAGTTAGATAATGGGACAAAAGAAAGGAAGACAGGAGAATCACTGTCAGTAAGCATACCCAAAATTTATGGAATCAAATCTATAAAAAAAATTTTTATTTTAAATTGTAAATCAAAAAAAAAAAGACTTTTTGCAATTATTAATTGTATAGTTTTCGTTTTACTTTTTTTTTTTTACTTACTGTATTTTTATTTGTCTGCTTAGAACAGTTTTTTTTTGAATCAATCTTAAAAGTGACCAAAATATATTGTGAAATTGAACAACCAAATGATTTTATTTTTGGTTTAGTTTTTACTTTATTACATCGTCAAATTCTGATTTCTCTTCAGAGAAACTTACAACAAATGGGAGAGGAAAATAAAGAAGAAAAAGAAGAAGAAACAAAGGAAAAAGAAATGTCTGTAATGGATAAGCTGAAAAAACTTAGGGAAAGTATTGTCGTCTTTCCCATTATTGGAAAATGTATTGGCGAATTACCTGTACTGTTTCTGTCAATTTCTGCAGCTATTTTTGCAATTTCCATCTTGGGTTTTGTTCTCAGGTTACTTTTTTTTTTTTTTGTTCTTTTGTATAAATTTACTCTAAGTGATTGTTGTTTCTAAAGATCAGTTTAAAAATTATTTTTATCAAATGCTTAGCAACTAATTGAAACGAATCGACAAAATATGGTTTGTTTTGAAAAACTGTTAAACGTTTGAAGCTATTTGATTACAACTCAAATATTTTATCATAGCCACCGCACCGATATACCGAACATTTTTTGAAGGTATATCTTAATTTTTAGATTGGATATTCGTGTGGACCTGAAATCTGGTTATACACCTCAGGATGCGCCATCAGTTGAAGAAATTGGTGCACATGTCAAATTTTTTGGCAACCTGGTAACTGATTAAACCATTAATATTTGCAAGGCAATATCACTTTAAAAATACAATATATATATTACAGAACACTAACCGTCATTTTTTTTTTCAACAAAATTATTCTAAAGATCTTCAAAAGTTTTTTTATTTTTGTCCAAAGATCTGTATGTTATCAACGAACTAAATAAATCAGGAAAAACATTTTACAGAGCAATCGTTGATTTACTTGTATGCTTATTTATTTATTTATTTTTTTTGTCTGTGTGTGTTTAAAAATTAAATTTTGAAAAAATTTTAAAAATCAAAAAAATGAAGAGCAGTTCTTTTGAGCGTTTTTCTTCTCAACTATATTAGGCACTTTCTTTTTTACCTTTTTTAATTTATCAAATAAATCTGAGTGTATCAATTTTACTTTTTACACAACAATTCCTCTTTTCTGACAGTAACAAAACTGAATACCTATAAAATATAAAGAAGTAAAGATTTTTCATTGAAAAATTGTACCCAACTTTCTGCCTGATAGCCCAAATTTTTTTTGTTCTTCTAATTGCCAACTGATCTGAATTTTTCAAAAGAAATTCCAAAATCAAGTTTTAGCAATTCTTGTCTAGTTTTAAGCGTTTAAAATTCTGTTTTTTCCTTCTCAGCTAAAACAGTAGACTGATTTTAAAACTTTTTTATCTGTAAGCATGTTCAGACTTTAAAAGTTTCCTTGAAACTTTATGCCTTTTTCTGTTGTTTCATAACCGTACAAAAGTTTGAAAGAATTAAGAAAACTGTTTCAAAATGAAGAAAATTTTAAAAAAACTCAATAAAAAGTTGGTATAAACTAATTTTTTTTTTCAAAATAGGCTTTTTTTTTTTCACACATTTTGTTTTCTATCAGATCTGAACGCATCAGGATAAAATTTTAAAAAATTTTTTGTATTGTACACTTTCTGATCAGATTTTGTTCGTTTATACATAATTGAATATTTTTTACAATATCTGTTTTTTTAAGGGTGAAAAAAATTCAAAAGCTTTGAACGTTATATTATATTTTATATCGTTACAATTTTTAACATCTTATTTTTTTTTTTCTTTCATAGTGGCAGTTAACTTGGAGACACTGAAATAAGTTCTGAATCTATTCTACTGCTGAAATATCACAGCAACAGTGAGTTTTAAGTACCCAATAACCAAAAAAAAAA